CTATCTAATATGCCTGCGACCGTACCTCGCCTACTCCACTAACGAAGTCTAGGAGTCGCCTACGACCTACTCCCAACCTAAGCCTACCCTACCCCCTAACCCTAACCATAACCCTAACCATATCAAATAGTTACCAGGCGTACGTTTCGTACTATCCGACATACCAGGGTTACGTATCCAGCAGTACCTGGGCGACATAGACCCTCTCAGCGTAAGTAGCCCATGCGTAATCGGCATACATGTTTGACACAGTGAAAAAATTAAATTTTATTTTTCCGGGCTCTTTTGCAAACCCCCCCAATAATTATCGTGCGGCTACTTTTCATCTTCAGGCTCTTTTCCACTTTCCAGTGCGCGCGACTTTTTCTAGGGGCGTTTCCCTCAAATGTACACACAAGCACAGTAGCTTAATACACATCTCCTGCGGGGTGCGCCGCACACACCACCTAGGGGCGATAAATCCGTACCGAGAGGTGGGGGGGGGGATAGTCGGCCGATAGCCAGGGGCGAAATTAACCTTGGCCTTGCCGCAGGCAGCCCGCGTTGCCCGTATATTCATCCATAGTAGGGGTCTGAGGTGCATTGCCCCAAGAAATTCTGAAATATTTTAAGCCATTTTCCTGGCAATCTGAGACATACTGTGGTGCAATATTTCTCATGTCTGAATGACACTATCTCAACCCTGACTCAACCCTACAAAGTTAGGATTCAAACACTTTCATGACTTTTCAGAAGGCCCTTACACAGTTAGGTTACTATAATATAGTAATAATACATGCTATTTACAACCAGCGTAAGGATTGCAATTTATCTCACAATTTCACGTGTTTTTGTATGTTTCAACCATACTGCATTCATTTTTTTTCTCTCTATTTTTTGAATCTCAGGGGGGTCATTTGTACAGGCCATCCTCCCCCTCTTCAAGGCGGGGGATGCAATCCCCCCATCCCCCCGGCATTTACGCTCCCTGCACCACCATACACCATCAGCACACGTCACACACACGCACGCACACACGCACGCACGCACGCACGCACGCAACGCACGCACGACGCACACACAATTCACAACCACAAAATGCACCTTGAATAGTGAAGCTAAACACGAACTAGTTACGCGGCTAGCGCAACAATAGTGGAGTGTCTGCCTGTACGAGCGAGGAGATCAATCTCGTTTATACGCGAAGTCCTTGCTGGCTTGGGTCCTGGCCCGCCGCGGGTTCTCCCCATGATGAAAATTCAAAACAGGGGGGAGGGAGGGAAGGGGAGGGGGAGGGAGGGGGAGGGCGAACATAGGGGTTCCTGCGGGCGGTTTTTTTTCCGCTTACACAGATTAATGCGTAAAATCGTCCCCCCACACCATAAGACAGGTATTGCGTCTTAGTTATATAATAAGCCGACGTCGTTGGCGTGTGGGGACAAGAGTGACTGTTAGTGTACTTGTTGTATCTGTCTCCAGCATGCGTCGGTAGGTTAAAAATACACGCGCAGGGTTCCTCGGTCGAATGCGGAATTCTTGACCGATCGATTTCCCTCTGTGAGCAACTTTTATTGTGGTGGAAGTTAATCGGGGCGCAACGATTGAAACAGGGGGGAGTTTTCCCAAACGGGGCGCGCGCGCCCCGTTTGCGCAACGTAGGTAGAACCCTGCCGCGTAAGGGCCCTGGAAGCTCAGGGGGTTTGAGAAAGCGGCCCGCGAGGCACGTGTGTATGGGTGTGCACATCGACGCTGCGTACGTGCCTACTGGCAGGGGCGGCATTGATTGAAGTACGGGGGGGGGGCACAATTGTTTCAGCGTGGTACTAATCACTACTAAAATGTAGAGGGTTGGCATTGCTGGACTATGAGAGAGCGACAGCAAAACTCTTTCGGGGAATTGGCGAAAAAGCTACAATTGGGAATGACACACGAGTGTGCCGGGATGCGTGCCTGCGGGCGTGCCTACGTAGACCCGTAGGACCAACGACCCGTAGGATTATAGAACGGTAATCCATGGAAAATCCTAATGAAATTCACACGTATATTTTTCCCTGCACATGCAGGCACGCACGCGCGCAGGCACACGCGCACGCACGCGCGCAGGCACACACGCAAGCACGCCCGCTGGCACACCGGCACACACAGGCACGCACGCGCGCAGGCACACACAGGCACGCACGCACACACGCGCACAGGCACACACGTATATACGCACGGGCGGCGGCGCGCGCTTGATTGAATGCAATACAGTACAGTACACACATGCATGCTTAAATGGTAAACACTTGACGGTCACACCGTACCATGAATTCTACCGCGCCGTGGAACCGGCTGCCGCTAGCGGCAGAGGCCGAGCGAGAGCGGCAAGGCGCGGGACCGACCTGGACAATCGATTTCCAGGGCGACTTTTGCTTTTGGGGTCGCCCCCGATATCATGTTTTCGGGGGCTCTTTTTGGCATTTCGGGGGCGAAATCGCCCGCCGCCCCCGTGTATTTTTTCCCCTGGTTTGACACGTGACGTTCGCTATCAGCTGGCAGGCTTTGCCTATCTATCACAGTGAACGAGGTTGCAACCACATTTTGCTGGTGAGCTTGCAACTCTGTTTGTCCTGTCTTGTATTTGTTGTTTTGTGTGAGATAGGAGAACTATGTCGTCCGCAAAGTCAAGATCGTCTAGCTGAGTATGTAGAGTCTATTGGATACCATTTCTTTTGCCCTCCGTGGATTGTCGCATCACCCAATCCACCGCCAAGACAAAAAGAAAGGGAGATAACAAGCACCCTTGCTTGGCTCCAGACTGCACTTGGAAGCTACTTTAGAGTTTTCCGTCATGCAGAACTTTGCAGGACATCTTATCGTATAAATTTTTTATGATGGAAATAATTTTCTGCGGGATGCCATAATGGGCCATCTGGTAATCAAATGTTAATTGAGCCACCAACTGTAAAAACGTTGGCTACACTTGGCGATCGAGCTTTTTCATCAGCTGCCCCAAAATTACGTGGTTATATTCGATGTGAACAGTCACTGGAATCTTTTAAATGCCTAGGAAAAACTCATCTATTTAACATTGCATTTAACACATAGACATTGTATTTTTAGGTATACATTTGAGTCCGTTTTTTACATCGGTTGGAAATGCTATAGGATTGTCCTAATTTTAGGATCTATACGTACTCTTACATGTTTATTGGTTTTCAGATGGCGCATACCGAGGACCAAAACTGCTGAATCTGAAAGAGATAGCTGACAATGCTCTAAAGATCTGCGCGGATAGGTATGGCATATGAATGCGTTTAAAGCAGGCAGCCAGCCTGGGGTAACCACATCACCCTTGCTGATGTCCTCACAAGCAATGGCACGTGGCTCGTGTCTGAAGAAGAACGTTATTTACTGATTCGTTAATGCTGTGCAAGAACCCTTTCATCTTACATACAAGGTAGATGTAAAGCCTCCTTGACCCACTGATTCCCTTGATCCACCGACCACCTTGACCCACTGATTCCCTCGACCCTCTGACCACCTTGACCCACTGATTCCCTTGACCCACCGACCACCTTGACCCAGTGATTCACTTCACATGCTTGACCACGTGACCTCACTGTTAACGTTGATGATGTTGTATCGCAGAAATCATGCTGTGAGCGCAAGCATTGTCGTGAGGCATGTCGGTCCAACCCCCGCATCGATGCAGAACAGTGAGCCGGCTAGCAACACCATCACATCACCACCCAAGCGCCCTTCCTCACAGTTTAAGGTAATAAGGTGATAGGTAGGCAGGAGGGTTCTCCTCGGGCCTTTAACAGTCTTCGTGTCTTCACCATTATGTCTGGCATGTCTTCAGAGCAAAAGTTTATTTGTGACATTGTCTAAATCCTAATTGGAATGGTACATGATTACATGGTATTTTCAATTGGTGTTCTGGTGAAACCAGATAGCATTGTAATTTCCAGTAGTCATAAAGACAGAAAGAGGGCATGGGCTTGTGTTACAGTCGAACTGGGTGGAGGGCAGGGATGTGTGGTGGCATAACGAGATGGAAGTTGCCAGTGAGGAGTGCGCATGTGAATGGTTGGATGCTGAGGACCCACTCTTCATGCTTTACACCAGGTACTACTTTCTTTACTTCTGGATCTCGTTTATTTTACTTCTGGTATTGCAGTTGTCACCGCGTGCTTTAAATTAAAGCCCACGCGCGACGGCGTAATCGTATTTATGTTTTAATACCTTGTGAAGGAATAGCCCGGCTCGAGGATATAAAATACAGCCACTGATAGACAACTGAATGCAGGAATTTAGATAATACACACATGAATAATATTTATTAATAACTCGACTCCAATCACCACACTATACAATCCCCACACCCCATTGGTTATAAATTCGTCATTTTAGTAAACTACCTGACGCTTGCCTACAAGCGCTGTCTCTACCTTCGTTAACGTTACCACTCGCTTAATCTGTTGCATCCCGATAACGGGAATATAACCGCGGTATCTCAAACCCCTAAAATCCGCGACACATATACTTATAACCACGTTAACTTATATTATCAAACCGCATTACTGTAACGTCTGCAATCAATCTTACTTACAATATCAATGATCTAAACAATCAGCATAATCTAACTATCATACAAATAAAAGCATCTTACGTATACGCTGCCATGTTGTCGTGGGTCGTTCAATATCCAGTGCTGTCCCTAGCCAATATCTTTCTGTTAAATTTTCCCCTATTTATGCTACCCAGCGTCCGCGCGCGACCTCTCCTTTTTCGGTCACTGGGCGTACCTGCCGTCTCCCTTTGTTTATTGTTATGCTGCTTTTGTTCTTCCTCGCACTAGGTTAGTAATGTCATCTTAACCTCCCTCGCTCGGCTAGTACTGACCGGTTGCCAGTGACGTAACAGTTTCGCGTTCCTCTCCGTACCATGTTCTAGGTTACACAGTTCAGTCTTCGCATTCATTCAAATTTAAAAATAACATTCTCTGTGTACCTTCGAAAATCATTCCTAGCATTCATAGGTGTGTCAAAAAAATGTAAAACGTTGTGTAAAACTGTCAGTTTTAAGGGAGGTCTCTTTTCGGTGACTCTACCTGCTGGTAATTCACAGTACTATTCCCCATCTGCCCTCTCTATCTTTTGTCTTTAAGTTCACTAATTTTATTCCTTCACGGTCATTTCCCTGCTAGGATTTGCCGAACCTCTGGATTTCACTTCTGCCAGGAATTTCTGTCTGGAGCTCTTTTTGTATACCTCCCTTCACTGCTTTTACTCACTTTCTGTGCTGGAATGTTTCCTTTATTTTGCCTGTTTTTCTCTATCTGTCTTTCGTTTGGTCTTTCGTTGCCATGATGTCACCCCACCAGCCGTTATTTTGTTTGAATCAAAGTTCTTATCGTGTAAATGCATGCATTACACATTTGCAGTGGCTCGACAGGGAAGCCAAAGGGAGTGCTTCACACGATTGGTGGCTACATGCTCTACACGTACCTCACGTTTAAGTACGTGTTCGACTACAAGCCGGGTGATGTCTACTGGTGCACCGCAGACATCGGATGGATCACTGGCCACAGCTATGTCGTCTATGGCCCGATGGCAGCTGGTGCTACAAGTGTCGTTGTGAGTTCAGCGACAATAACTTTGCAGGCCTGCGATGCACAAGCGAGCACAGTTAGAGATAGGCTTGTTCCCCTGTATTTTGATTCAACAGCAGATGAAATTTTGTTGATGTTTGCGCGAAGATTTCTGTTGTTGATTACATGCTCAGAGGTTCTAGCAGGGGAGTGCACAGCGACAATGTTTTTATGGCATTTTTTGTTTTGTGATGTTTTCCAGTTTGAGGGTACGCCGTTCTATCCAGATGCCGGCCGATTCTGGCAGATATGCGACAAGTACCTAGTGTCGAAGTTTTACACAGCACCGACGGCCATACGGGCTCTGATGAAGTTTGGTGATGAAGAAGTGACTAAGTAAGTGGCATTCCATATAGTAACCTGTTCCTCCATATACCAGATCGAGGTTACTACAGTAAAAATCGCATAAGTCGACACTTTTGGGACCAGCGTATTTGTGCCGACTTACGAAAATGACGACATACGCGTAACTGTAAGTCGTCATTTAGTCGACTTATATGTAGGGCTCCCCTCCCAGGCGCCCGTCACCCCTACGCAGTCATAAACGTGCTCCACACACGACGTCAGTTCGCACCACATACATAGCAGACACGAAACAATCGGGTCCGTACATCAATCGACACCGCTACTGGTCATAACCCACGTACATCGTACGCACTAGCGCCAAGCGTGGCACACGCTGGCTATCTGTAACACCCGCTGTTGATTCACGCATATCTGCGATGGCCAGGTGGCACATCCCCTCGACCGTACACTGCGCCATCGGCATTTCTGATGACGACTTACAGATGGGAAATTACTGTTGTTTGTATTACATGGGACCTGTCTGAGGGCGACTACTTGTACGTAATGACAACTTAGGCGGGGCTATTCCAATGGATTTACTATGAGAGAAAATCGGGACTTCGACTTCCATGACGACGCGAATTGACGAGTTAGACGATGACGACTTATGCGAGTTTTACTGTAATATGATTTCAGCAGTTAATTTGAATATGTCTTCTAGCAAGATTTTGCTGATCTAACATATCCCTGCCTATTGCACAATGCTACTTACACCACCAATTAGTCACTTCTACATTTGATCTAACAAAATCTGTGCGTGTAAATTTTCTGCCCTATTTGCATCTGCTGTCTCATGTTCGACTTGCACGGTTGGTGTTGTTTTTCAGGTATAGTCGTAGCTCCCTCAGCGTGCTGGGAACTGTTGGTGAACCAATCAATCCTGAAGCGTGGTTGTGGTACCATACCATCGTTGGGGGTGGGCACTGTGCCGTGGTTGACACTTTTTGGCAGACAGAGACTGTGAGTGCACACACACCTGTGTCGGCATGGCATATTGGCGAGCAGATTGTGTGTGCTCGTATTGGCCGAGAACATTTGTCATGCAGCCTGATGATGTTTCGAATAAGTGCTTCAAATTTTTGTGTGCTTGAGTAATATTGCAAGTGTGAATCTGTGTTGTGTTAGGTATATATACATTATATATTAGGCCCTGTTGATATTTTCACATTTGGTGAGACTTGTTTACAATTGTTTTATAAATGAGTATCACCAAAGTTTGCTGGTGTTTGTAGGGTGGACATACTATTACACCCCTTCCTGGATGCACAGTGACTAAACCAGGCTCTGCTGTAAGTTCATTTTGGTTTTCATTTCCGTAGATTTCAGAGATTGTGGTTTTCAAATTTATAATTCTCTAGATCAATGCAGATTCGTTTAGAAATATGAAGGTTGTTGCACGCGTGTACTTCATCTGAACACTATCCAGAACCCATGAACACAATGTTCGCAGACGTTGCCATTCTTTGGGGTCGTGCCAGCACTTATGTCGGAGGAAGGAAAGGAGCTCGAGGGCGAGGCTGAGGGCTACCTGGTGTTTAAGCAGCCATGGCCTGGTATCATGCGCACAGTGTACGGTGACCACAGCCGATTTGAAACGACCTACTTCAAGAAATTTCCTGGTTACTACACAACAGGCGATGGTAAGTCGCATTGTCTGAACAGGGCATGCAGATGTCAGAGTGTGCGCTATAGTACAGAGTTATATCCAAACACTGGAATTTTCATAGTTATGGCTATTTGCATTATGCATGACTAATTTAGATGAATTGTGAAATTAACATTTTATTTAGCGAATATTCTTCATGCATGTGTCTTTCACCTTTGCTTCATGTTATATACATGCAATAATAATAATAATTACATTAAAAATTTGTGCAATAATTCGCCAAAATTTTGGTTATACATAATTTTCACATTGTTTTTACGCATCTAGGACTCACGTCAATTTTAATGTCGTAACAATGTCTGTAATTAATATTGGAGCGTGGTGACTGTGGCGCGTAACACACGGTACCTGCTGCAGGCGCTAAGCGTGACGCCGACGGCTATTACTGGATCACTGGTCGCATTGATGACATGCTGAATGTGTCCGGCCACCTGCTGAGCACGGCAGAAATCGAGAGCGCCCTTGTTGAGCATCCATCCGTTGTGGAGGCGGCCGTAGTCACGCACCCACACCCGATCAAGGGCGAGTGCACCTATTGTTTTGTGACGCTGATGAATGGTTGCGAGTTCACGGATTTGCTCTCCACTGACCTCAAGAACACCGGTGAGTGCTGCTGCGTGACAGCTGGTGGGAAACGCTAGCATGGCATTTGATTCGGTTTCTCATACGTATATAAGCTAGAAAAGTTGCAGTGAGTGTGAAGACTGCTAATTAGAACTGTAAATAGACATGTGGCAATTTTTGTTTAGCATTTGTGTCTATCTTGATGTAGAGCTGGTTTCGTTTGTGTACACTGACGCCACTCTGTTTTGGAAAAACTTAAAAGGAAGACAAAAATTCTCAACTACCAGAATTGCTTACGGACTACCAGGTTACAAAATGTAGTAGTCTGTATACTACCAGACAAAGAAGACCAGACCAGACCCTCTACCCCCCCCCCCCGCGTCAGCCTGCAGAATCCACATCCGTGCCTACTGCACTGCACGCCTTTGAATCCATCATGTGCGTTTTTTCCCCAAACTGGCCATTACCGCCATTGTCTAATTTTCCCTCGGAAGAAACCCTGTGTGTGCTATGCATTTGCATGAGCGCATGCATACATGTCTGTATCCGGGGATCTCCCTGTAGGCAATATTGAACCATTCGTAAAAGTGTACGAAAGATATCCTGCCAAAAATAGTACAAGCAAATAAAGGTCTGTGAAACCCTCTTATAAGTTATAGTTAGTGATTCTGACCATGGAATGTTTACTCGCGGTTACTTCACCTCTGCACAGCTCAGCAGTGTTGCGGCCTTCTAAACAAACAATCATGCCATTTCCTTGTTGTTATTTATAAGTAAGCATACCTGTAACGTTTTTCAGTTCGAAAAAAGATCGGACCGTTTGCCCAGCCTGATTACATCCAGAATGCTCCTGGTTTGCCGAAGACTCGCTCAGGCAAGATCATGCGCCGTGTGCTGCGCAGCATTGCACGCAACGACGACGAGTTTGGTGACACGTCGACGCTCGCGGATCCTAGTGTTGTTGATTTGCTGGTGAAGCTGAGACCCCCTAGTAGCAGGGATCAATAGATGAGGTGATGATAGTGGGTGGTAGTCTGTGATGTGTAGTGTTATAAGAGCAGGGGAAGAAAGAGGGCTTCGAGATCACAGCGAGGAGAGAGAGAGACAGAGAGAGAAAGAGAGAGAGAGAGAGAGAGAGAGAGAGAGAGACAGACAGACAGACAGACAGACAGACAGACAGACAGACAGAGAGAGAGAGAGAGAGAGAGAGACAGAGACAGAGACAGAGACAGAGACAGAGACAGAGACAGAGACAGAGACAGAGACAGAGACAGAGACAGACAGACAGACAGACAGACAGACAGACAGAGAGAGAGACAGACAGACACACAGAGAGAGAGAGAGAGAGAGAAAAGAGAAAGTAAAATATATCAATGTATTGCTAGTGGGGAACAAATGGTTGGTCAGAGTGCATCTTTGCTATTCGGTCCACATCATAAGAACCAGAAAGGTGTCTGATTGATCAGGAATTTTTTCTCTAGTGTTTGTGTTCATAGATATATGATGACTATCTCAAATTATGTATGGTGATACACACCATGAAAATACATGTATTCTTACATGTACGATGTATTTGACTATTCACGATACGATGGTGTGTTTGACTATTCATGATGCTATACCTTATTGAATCAAATCCCTAATCCCAGTAAATCCAAAAAAAGAAGAAAAGAAGCGTGACGCAATGTACAATTCAGTAGCCGTTGTTCACTAAGTGCTCAACGGTCTAGATAGTTTCTTTTAGAAGTATTGTGAAAGATGTATCGTGATAGAAATGATATCGTGAGCTACCAGTATCATCCTACCCTTAATATCATCAAGAGTGCATAATAGAGAAGAGTATGACACGGTTTTAACAGCGTTTTGCATAGTTTTCAACTTGTAAATACTCTATCAATATGTGAATAAATATATTCAACTTTACCTTGTTTTCG